CAGAAACTTCGGGGCAGAGGAAGTCAAACACAAGACAAATAGGAAGGAGACTAACAGGAAAGGTGCCGGACCTATCAAAGCAGTTCTATTGGGGAGGCTGAACACATTAAAGGCAATCAAGCATTTCTTTTTGCCAAGAAGGTCAAGGGTCGACATTTCAAGATTGTACAGAAGGTCTTGGTTCTGCTACCCACAGACAACAACAAACTCATCCTGCAGTGTGAAGGACCTTTTGAGGAGCGTGTGTGTGTTCTTATAGCAAAGCCACATCGGGGTATCTGCTGTATCGACCTTCTAAGTTTTTCTCGTTATGTGTAATATTGTTGTCACTAGAGAGCTAGATATTTCTAGATTTTTCTGTCGCGTGTTATAAATACCTGCAGATGCAAGCAAATGGGAGATAATTAGACAGATCTATACCAGTGATTGGTAGTTTAGCCATGAAGTGCGATTTCTAAAGAAGTTAGAAAACGTTAAGTTAGTGAAAGTGAAGTTCGACTGCGTAATTGTTAATTATGCAAGAACGAGCTATATTTAAAGCGAGTTTCACAATGGTATAGTAATAACAGAGATAAAAGAGAATAATTTGTCTTGTCAAAGAGTGTTCTAAAGTAATTGAACCCGCCTGTGTGGACTTTGATGAAAAGGAGACAATTATTTAAAGTTCTGGATACAATTGTGGTAACCCACAGGATAACGTAAGTGAATCTATCACAGATTGTGCAGAAAGAAACCGAGTATGGAAAAATAATTCGTCTTGTCAGTTGAGTTCCAAAGTAATTGTATGGTCTTTTTACATGAAATGGAATTATCTAAAGCTTTGAAAACAACTTAGATAACCAATAGTGAAACGAATTTTTGTATAAAAGTTTGACTTGCTTTCAATATATTAACTCAAAACAAGTGGGTTGTGTGCGACATTTATCGCCAACAAATCACAGACACCTACTAAAAAGAATCCCAGACCATATTCAAAGCATGACACCTTGTAAAATACTTCCAAAATGATCCTGCCACCAGTAGTCAACCTGTATTTAAATAAAAGTTTAGTCTTTCTTGCTGTATAAAAAAATGAAATATGATAAATATCAGATTAGCTTTCTGTAACTGGATGTATATTTAAATTGTACATATTATTAAAAATTAGGTATTGATTGCTTCTAAATTTTTCGTTATTCGCCAACTCGATGAAAAATTCACATAAACATCACTTACTGTAGCCACGAGTATTTTGAGGATCGTTTCG